TATATATATAAAAAAATATGTTTTTACACTAATATTGAACCGGCATAAATATTCTTCTTAATTGGGCAGATATTTAATTTAATACTAATAATGTTCAATAATTTTAATTTTAATCCATATTATTTAAAATTCAAGATTCTATTATTAACTTCAATTTTTTAAATTCAAAGTGCAATTTTGACTAGAGAAGCAAACCGCAACAAATACAAAAAAAAAGAACGTAAACCCGAAAGGTGGGACCCATAGAAATCAATTTAAATTGGAAAAAGATTAAAAAATTATGACAAAGCACCATTAAAAAAAAAAAAAATTAATATCTAATAGACCATGTTTTAATAAGCATAATAATAATTAAATAATAATGATTTGTACCGCTACGTGACAATTAAGCATTAAACCGATAATTAAAAAAAAAAAAAAAAGTTAATCAGTTGGGGCCCACAGGCATTTCTCGGAAGTTCCGTGACCGTGACTCCAGTTTTATTTCCCCCGACTGCTTCCTTCTCCACCGTCTGATTATTCAAAAAATCAACGGCGGAGATCTGTCCCAATTCTCCACGCCCCCACCAAACATGTCTGCATCAGGCTGCCAGCTAGGACTTTTTAATTCCAACTCTCCACGTTGCCACTTCATCTGACGGCCCATATTTTCTCATCCATCCCGCCAACAAAATCTGGACCGTTGAATAGGGACCCACACGGTCCGTGAATTAATTATTAATTCATTAATTATCGGCTGTTTATATATAATAATAATAATAATAATAATAATAATAATATAATATTGCTTTATTATTTTATATTAATTGCAGGTCTCAAAAAATTGATGACTTGCCACTTTGGAATAGATTTGATGAATTGGAACAGTAAATTCTCAGCATTTTACTCCCTATTTTTAAATTAATTTAATAATGGGGGCATTTTTTTAATTAATTAAAAAGAAAATTAAGTAGTAAATTGCGGAACCGGAAAATAATGAAATTTGACCGGGGCTTTACCGATATCTTCTGCGGTCACCTAGATTCCTTGTGATCGTCATTTTGCTTTTACCAAGGTCACCGTTCAACCGGCTATATCCGGTCACTCCTAACCTCTCTCTCTAAAGGTTGTAGGGAATTATTTGTTTAATGTGTGTCCTTTTACTTTTTTTTTTCCTTTTATCTTTTATAATTTATAATTCACATATTAAAATTTGGCTTATTAATATTAGAGCACACTAATTTTTGTCTTGCTCGTTGTAATTAAAGATTAACATTTGATTAATCTTTTATATTTAACTACAATTCGTAAATTATACGAGTTTGTACAATGAATTTACTTAAAAATTATGGGCAGAAAAAATAAAATACGAATAGTTATATGTCACGCTTCAACTTTTCAGCTAGATCAACTTGTTTAGAGAAACATAACTGAGTAATTGATATCGATTTCGATAATTTGGGAGTATATTATCAAATTTATGTTAATGATATACTTATAATTGAATAAAAGTTTGATAATCAATCAAAAAATAAAAAAATAAAATTGACTATATGTTTCCACTAATACAATGCTTAAAAGAAAAAAAGAAACATAAATAATTACATATTGGCCCCTACCAATCAATTTACAGAGCCGTGAGTAGAATGCCTGCCTCAAATAATAAAATGACAAAAAAATCATGGAAGCTTGTGGAGGAAGGGAAACCGACACGTGGCGGTCACGATTTTTATTTTAATGAAGGGTAGATAATACCGCCATGTTGGCAACTAGGGTATTTGTAGCCGTTGGATTAACTAGGGAAATGGAGGGCGGAGATTGATTTAAATGACAAAGCGAGCGCATCTGAGGCCTCCACGTAGGCAAATTTGTAGATGTGAAATAGCTCCCCTTCAAAAACAGATGATGAGCGAGAGATTGTGTTCAGCAGAAATAAAAGGATTCATTTAGAGAGAGAAAGAGAAGAGCAACTTGTGAAAGCTGAAAGCGAAAGGAGGTAGAGAGAGAGAGAGAGAGAGAGAGAGAAAGATCTTAAAAGAAGATTGCGGTTTTATCCGGCCGGATTTATACTAAATCTCGGGTGTTTTCCGGCGATTGCTTAATTTCCGGCGAATTATGCGATAAAGCGGAGTCTGATGAGATATTATCGGGTAGGGTTTGTTGAACCGGGTCAAGCTCCGATTTTTATCAGGAAATTACAGTAATGGATAGGAACAGAGAAGCCAGAAGAGCTACTAGTATTGTGGGTTCTAATGGCTTCAATAAAAGAAGACACAGAACAAATAGTCTCAGAGATTCCCCAGGTAGATTCAACTCAGATCTGACTTAATTTTTTCTTCATCAAGATTCAATTTTTTTTTTTAAAGATTTGATTTTTTTTGGTTGCAGATGAAGAGGGGGGGATTGAGTTGCAGGAATCTGCGAGATTAAGGGAGAGAGTGAAGAAAGATCGAGATCGAGAGAGGGAGAGAGAGAGAGAACGGGAGAGAGATTTAAGAGAGAGAGAAAGGGAGAGAGATTTAAGAGAGAGGTCCAGCCGTAGTAGCAGTAAGAGAAGAAGAGCAGAGAGATTAGCTACCAACAGAGACGATATCGGTGGAGATGAAACTACAGATGAAAGCTTCAACGAAGACGACGATGAGGAAGACGAACACACCGCCACCGCAGCCGCCGCCGTTCGGTCGTTTCCGCCGCCGCAGACGGCGGCGGCCGGTTCCATTTCCAACCACCACCACCACAACCAAAACCACAGTTTCAGCACTAGTTTTAGTCAGCAGCATAGTAGCAGCAGCGGTAATATTATGAGTAGTAATAACAACCATCTACAGCATCGGAAAAGCTTCCCACTGAGCTCTTCCTCCGCCAAGGTCTTGAGAGCGCCGCCGGTCTGGAAATCCGGCGATGAAATGATCAGCGCCTCCGTTCCAAGAAAAGCTCGCTCTGGTAAATTTAAAAAAAAAAAAAAAATTTTTGCCTTTTCTTGATTTTCCTTCTTCTCAATGATTTCTCATTTTTTTATTTATTGAAGCGTCTACGAAGAGGCTGCATGATTGGATTTCAAGCAGCAGTAACAACAACAGCAGTGGCGGTGGAGTCGAACAGAATCCCGGCCAAGTTTCCGATTCTCCGGTGGGACAGGCCCCGGTTTCTGCATCACCTCCGTTGCAAATTCCGGCGGCCGCCGCCGCGCCACTCTCTCCGTCTTCTTCCAATGCTTCCGCCAGAAAGAAGCTTGTTAGTGTTTCAAGATTTCATCTTTTTTTTATTTTTAATTATATCGAATCTAAATCGAGACCGATTTTTTTTGGTAATCTACAGAAAACTTCCATTAGCAATCCCGGGCAGAAACTCAAGCCACCGCAAAAGGTCTCATCTTCTTCAAAGCCCAGCTCATCGAATCCCGAAGAATTGGAGATCGAAATCGCGGAGGTTTTATACGGTTTGATGACACAATCACAAGGCCCTTCTTCTTCATCGAAGAAAGAAGATTCTAGAGAAGTTAAGAATTCCGAAGCAAATACTTCGAGCCCTCTTTCCGCTGTCGGTAAGTATCAACTCTGCTTAATGTAATTTAAGTTCCGTTTTATTTTTTTTTCGATCGAAAAATTGATAAAAAAATGTTCTTTATTGCAGCCCCAAAGAGAAAAAGGCCGAGGCAAATACCGGAGAATTCCGTTTACCGAGACCCTGTTCCTGCGAAACCAGGGGCAGAGCAGATGCCGAAGATCGAGATTTTGTCTCCTAATTTGGAGAAAATTTCTGGATCCGGAGGTGAAATTGGGTACGAAATGGGGGGTAATTCTGTAATTTCACAAGCAGAGCCGCCCGTACCGGCAGCATCGGAATCGACGAAGCTGGATTTGGAGTTGAATTCGGTGGTGGAAGAATTGAGGGAGAACCGAGATTTGGTTGCTAAGGAAGAGGTGACGTCACCAAAGGAGAAAGAATCTCCTGCATTAAGAACATTAAGAACAGAGAATAGCAGCAACATGGATTTACAGTCAACAACTGTCATTAAAGAGTGAGTTTATAGAAATTCGATATTCATCGAAACCAAAAAGATTTGATTTTTATTTATCTTTATTATTTATTTTCTTATTGGGTATTGTTAAATCGGGTTTTTGTTTACTTTTTGGGAAATCAGGAATTTGGTGTCGCTGATGGAAAATCGGAAGGAAGAAAAGTTCGAAATAGATCTAATGGTGAGTGGAGCACAGATGATTAAATTTTTTTTTTTTAATTATGTTGTTTTAATTGATGAAATGGGATTTTTCATTTGATTTTATTTTTTATAATGGTAATTCAGGCGCCGCCTCCACAAGTAAGATCGTCTCCGGAGAGAGATAACAAGATTGCTTCGAAGGCATCAACAGTGGATCCTAAGCCGATTTTTTCAATTGATGATGCAGTAAGTAGATCGATCGGTCATTTTTTATCGAATCTTTATTTTATTTTATTTTCGTCTAGAAGTATGTTTATGATTTAATTTTTTGTTGCCCTTAAAATTTGAAGCTGTCGGTACCAAAAAATAAAGAAGATGAGAAGGGTTCGACAAATGTGGCAGCTGAAGAAAAGAAAGGTACAGGGTTAATCGAAGAAGCAGAATCTCACAAAGAAATCGAGAGTAAGGGAAGGAATATTGATTTGCATCTCGATTTGGAAAAGTCCGATAGAGACGGCTGTGCTGGATTTAATTCGACAGTGAACAAATCGCAACCGCAGATTCATAAGCAGATGCCGTTTAAGCCAACCAAAGAAGAACCACCCACTGATAAATCTGGTATTTTTTTTTTGTTTTTTTTTTTTAATTTTTTATTTATTTTTCTGGGCTTAGTATTTTCGTATCTTCGAAATTATTTATTCGGTTTCTGATTTTTTTTTAATATTTTTTTTTTTTCGGTTTTAGGTCATGTAACAAGCTCATTGCCTTTGCCTTTGCCTATGCCAATGTCAGTTGCTAACTGGCCGGGCGGGCTTTCTCCGATGGGGTATATGCTCTTAATTAGCTATTATATTTCGATGCTCATTTATTCTATTTTTAGCGATTTAATTAATTTAATTATAATTGGCAGATACATGGCCCCTTTGCAAGGAGTTGTCTCGATGGATGGAAGCGGTGTCACACCATCACATATGCAGGTAAATAAGTTTTTCCTTTTTTTTTTTTTTCTTTTCCATTTCAGTATTTTTTTATTTTTTTTCGTTTTCTTGATTGTTTGTGATTTGAATTTCTCAGCCACTATTCTCTCAGCCCCGTCCGAAAAGATGTGCCACACATTGCCACATTGCTCGAAATATACACTGTCTGCAGCAGTACATGAAGATGAACCCCTTTTGGCCGGGTCCCACACCACCCCCAGCCTCGTTATTCGGGTCGACCCGCCCGCCCGCGCATGATCCAAATGTGAATGTAACAGTTAGAGGTGGTAATAATAACAACCCCGATAATAAGGCTCACAGCCCCAATCACAGTGGAAAGGAGAAAATTTCTCAACCGAATATCAATTCCGATTCTTCGCAGAGAAAGCAACAACAGATTCTAATCCAGCAACCATTACCGCCTTCCGTATCACCCCCTAATTTACTGGTATTTTTTTTTCCTCGTATTTTTGCTCACCCCACTATTTTATTTCTTGATTTCTTTCATTTCATGTAACTAAGGTTTGATTATTTTATTTATTTATTTATGTAACAGGGGCCCACTTTCATCTTCCCGTTGAACCACCAGCAGCAACAAGCAGCCGCCGCTAGGCCGAGCTCCGCGAAATCTCCGGCTGCCAGCAGTGCTTCGTCCGCCGCTGCCGCCACGTCAGCAGCCGCGGCTGCTGCGGCGGCTATGAGCTTCAACTACCCTAACATGGCTCCAGCCAACGAAACTCAGTACGTGGCTATTATGCAGAACAACGGGTACCCTTTTCCGATGCCTGCTGTGGGCCCCCCTCCGAATTACCGGGGCCCGGCCATGCCGTTGTTCAACGGCTCTTTCTACTCTCCTCAAATGATTCACCCTTCACAGTTATTACAGCAAAACGCGAGTGCGCCTAGTAATTCCTCGTCTTCTCAGAAGCACTTGCAGAGCCAGCAGCAGCAGAATCCGTCGTCCAATAAAACTCAGCCACCTCAGCAGTACGCGCAGCACCAATCGAGGCCAAGGCACCACCTCGAAGGTGATCAAGATAACAATAGTAGCCCATCGACGAATGATAGTAGTAGTAGGGGGTATCGGCCTCCCATGAGTATGTACGGCCAGAATTTCGCTATGATGCACCCGCAGAATTTCGCCTTGATGACTCATCCTCCTCCTCCTCAAAACGAGAAGAAGGGGGCCCACCAAGCGTCGAAAGGTGGGGGCGAACCCTTGCCTCAGCATAGTTTTGCTATGTCGTTCGGTCCTGTGAATGGAACTAGTGGTGATATGATGACATCATCAATGGCTCAAAATCAAACGATGTTTCAGAATTCCGCGCAGAATATGATGATATCATCAATGGCTGCACACAAGAAGAGCTTCAGAATTTCCGATGACGGTAAATCGGGAAGCGCCGATTCCTCTGGGAAGGCGGCTCTTGGCGGCGGCGGTGGTGGTGGTGGTGGACAGTCGATTGCGTTTACGAGAGGTGATTCGCCGGTTAGTTCGATTCAAGCTAATAATAGTGTGATTGAGAGTTCTGCTCGATCTTTAAACAATGCGTCGAGTTCTGCACATAGCTCTAGGGCTGTGGCGGCGGCGAATGTTGTGGGGCCCACGAGTGTACAGAATGCTCATATTGCTCAGCTCCACCACCACCAGCAGCAACAGCAGCAACAGCTGCAGCAGCTGCAGCAGCAGCAGATGATGCAGTTTAAACAGCAGCAGCACCAGCTTGCAGCTAGTCGGAGTAAGGTGGTGCCGCCGCCTACGAATAATACCGCCGGAAGTAATAATAATAATATATACTCTGACCAATTGAATTTGTCTTCTTCTACCATGGCTGCCAAATTTCAGAATGCGCAAAACCACGTACAGAGCAACACCAGCAGTAATGGTGGGGCCCAGTCTCCGCAGTGGAGAAGCTCCACTACGAAAACCCCGTCTTCTTTGGCGGTGCCACCGCCAACAACCACGGCCACAACAACGTTAAAGAATATTCCTCAGCATCAGCAGCACTCTCGAAATCAACCTCAGTTGATGCACACTCAAATATCCTTTAGTGGCGGTTCAAATCAGAAACCACCGTCAGCAAGTCCACAAGGGGGGCAAGGGCCCCCTCCACCATCTTCCCCAATGATGGTCGGCGGCTCTCCGACGACCTCCTCCGTCTCGAAAGGTGGGCCCGGTGGCAGCCCGCGAACCACTTCGTCCGCTTCTACAAGCAACAAAACGGGCCAAGGTTCTTCCTATTCGGTGCAGTCGATAATGCCTAATCAGAGGTCTCCCTCGATTCTTGGAAACCCTAACGTAACTTCTTCGTCCAGCTCAGCACCGAAAGCTCAAATGCCGAAAACTATGCAGCAGACGCAGATGTTCTTCTCGAATATGTACAGCCAATCGCAACCGCCACATTCGACGAGCAATAGCCCGAACGCTTCGGGCCCCGGCCCATATTATACGCAGCGGAGGCGGCAGGACCAGCTGGCCCCTGGCAGTGCTCCCACGCCGGCTGTGGGCCCCACTAGTGCTAATACGAACGATCCGGCCATAGCAATTGCTGCGGCAACAAAGGGTGGTGGTGGTGGAGGATTGCCCCCTTCACAGGGGGTGATGCACGCCATGTTGCCAGCTGGCTTCTCGTATGTGCATCCTGTTCCGGCGGCTGTTCCGGCGAAACCTTCCGAGCAGAAACAAACCGTGGGTTAGTATTTACATGCCACCTGTCTTTATAAATGGGGAGTAAATTTTTACGAGTGAGTTTTAATTTTTTTAACAGGAAACGAAAATTTGCATCAATGGCAGCCTGAGAAGAAGTGAAAGAGACTGTGCAGTGAATCGTAATATCACAAGACAAAAAACACTCTGATGAAACACATCTTTCGTGTGGTGGATTTAGCAAAAAGGCCACCGTTTTTCTCGAAGGAAGTGCAAGGAGTGCTTTGGAGGTTGGATGGTGCTCTCTACATGAAAATTGTCCTGAAATGCAAATGCAGTGAATTTGGCTGTAATTTGACGGTCAAGGAGTCGGGGCTTTGAACGGGAAAAAAAAGATCGGATTTTTTGCGTTCGGTTATGGAAAAAGAAGTTAGGAAGTTAGAAAAAAGCAAGTGAGGAGCACAGCATATATGAAAAGATTTTCTCCCATCTGTTTTGTTTGGTCATAGGTAGTGGAGCTTCTTTTTTTTCTTTTAATCTTTAGTATCTTCTGTTTAGCTTTTGCTGAAATAACTAAAAGGAAACTAAAAAGACTAACATTGGACATTTGAGGGAAAAAGCGACCATGT